CCTTTATGTGCAGTGTTAAATAGGGAACCTATTCCATTTTTCTCCATGGAGCGAAGATGTTTCCTGGATACCGTCTACTAAGCAATCCACGTTTTCCTTGTTGACTTGGACTTCCTTACTTGTATGTTAGGTTCCCTTATGGGTCTGCCTCTGAACTCTCCATTATGTTCCTTTGGTTAGATTTTAGGAGTTGGATTAGTACTAACGTATTTTAATTTTCTGGATTTTTAGCTTGTCTTAAAAGGGAAAATCTGATCAGGAAAATCCCCATTCTTTGCCCTTCCTTTTCAGAATTGACCTCTCTATTGACTTTTATTTTTCCATTTCATCTTTGGAGTTTATGACATTTCTCAAACTATCCATGTAGAATTTTGATGGGGTTGTGTTGATATTGTAGATTAATTAAGGAAAATGGTCATTTTTACAGTAACCTACTATCTCATCCTATCTAGGAATAGAAAAGTCTGAATAGACTTTTAAAAATGTTTTTTTAATGTTTATTTGTGTGTGTGTGTGTGTTTATTTGTGTGTGTGTGTGTGTGTGAGAGAGAGAGAGAGAGAGAGAGAGAGAGAGAGAGAAGAGAGAGAACAAGCAGGGAAGACGCAGAGAGAGAAGGAGACACAGAATCCAAAGCAGGCTGACCTGTCAGCACAGAGCCCAATGCAGGGATCAAACTCACAAACTGTGAGATTATGACCTGAGCCGAAGTTGGACACTTAACCAACTGAGCCACCCAGGCACCCCTATTCAGTTCTATTTTTATGTCTTTAATAGAGTTAAATATTTTTTCCTCTGTAGATGTCTTGCAAGTTAGTTGTTAGTTTCTAAAAACTTGATATTGTACAGTTTTTGTTCCCATAGAGAATGTATCTTATTTTTTGTTTTGTTATCTAGTAGATTATGGTTTTGATTTTTATACACTTAACTGCTTACCTTCCTATATTCTTGGTCTTATACTTTGTTGATTCTAGTGGTTTATATATTCAGGTAATCATGTTACCTACAAATAATGACAGTTTTTCTCTTCTTCTGCAATCATTTTACTACTTTTTTCATATATATATAAAATATTCACCAGTATCACCATTAATATGTTAATAAACAGTAGAATTTTCATTCTAAGTTGTTATGGATGTAATATTTATTTTTTTCTTTAGTCCATGTCTTTTTAAAGAAATTTAAAATGTTGTTATTTTCTTCTATGTATCTTAGACACTCTCCTTGATTTATTTCTCTTCTTAGTTGAGTTCTTCCTCTTAGAATTTTTTTCAGGTTGGTCTGTTTTATGGGGAAATAGTCTGAGGACTTCCTTGCCTCCCAATATTTTTTATTTTGGCTTCACAGTTGCATGACTCATTGGTTGGACATAAAAATTCTAGGCTTAAAGTTCTTTTCCCTTTAACATTTAAAAAATATTAATTAGTATCTTGTGTCCAACATTGTTGCCGTGAATTCTAATATGTCTGCTTTTTCCTCCTTTGAAAGTAATCTACCTTCTCTTTTTCAAAGCATTTAGAATGTTCTTTGTCCCAGATGACCTTATTATCTTTATAAAGAGTCTTGGATGTGAGTTTTTCCTTATGTACCCTGCAGAATTGTGGGGAGAGTGAGGCAAATGAGAGACCCAGGGAGCAAAACTTGAGGCACTCAGTTCCAGGACTATGCAAATGCCTCCCTCAATTTTACATCCCATGGGTCTCACTTTGCTTCAACTTATTACAGGACCTACCACTATGCTTAGTAATTTGAGCTCTTTCAATCTGAGATCTTTGATCTTTCTTTAATTCTTGGGTATTTATCATTTTTAAAAAATAGACTCCACATCCAACGTGGGGCTTAGATTCATGACCTGAGATCAAGAGTCACATGCTGTGTGGACTAAGCCAGTCAGGTACCCCTATCATCATTATTTCTTTAAAGTGTTTCCTTCCCTCTGTTTCTTTAGGTCTCCTGAATTCTACCATCCATATCTTTTAACTTTTCTTTTATATTTTAATTTCTTTATCCTTTACTGCCGCCTTTTGGGAGAGTTTCTTTTTCTAGTTTATGAGTCTTTTTATTGATCTCATCTTTTTTAATTCAGCTATTACATTTTCTTTCATTTCTGATATTTACATGATTCTTTTTTATGACCTTTCTTGCTTCATATTAATAATACCTTCTGTGTCTTTGAGGATATTTTATATGCTTATTTTAAATTCTTGGAGTACCAGTTCTTAATTACTCTGCCTCACTTAATACATGTTTTAAAACTTTATTGTCTTTCTTTACAGTGTCTGTCTAGTTTATCCTAGGTCATGTTCCCCAAGGGGTCAACGGCCCTGTAGGGGAAAAGTCGAAGGACTAGGGTCTGGCTTAAGTGCTTCTCGGTGAATTTAAAGGAAAGAAAAGGAAATGAAACTAGAGAGTGTTAGACCCCACAAAACCAATTTTGACCATTTTCATTTGCTTTCCCTGTACTAGGCCAGTCCTCTAGTCATAACACCATACCTCCCCCGTACTTTAAATTCTTATAAAGAGGCATCACAAGAAAAGACAATCCCTAGATATTTTCAACCCTGCCAGCACTGATGGTTGCTGGGGGAATGGTAGCAGAACAAATGCCCAAGGGGACAGCATGCACCCATTTTCATCAGCTCCTTACCTGAAGAGATTTCTGTGCTGTTCGAATGTTACTAAGTTGACAACACTTGGCTGGGCAGTTGCTGCCAGTTTCTTGCCCCTGGAGGCAAGCAATGATCTTCCGAAGGCAGTGTGGGGGGAAGTCAACAGCAGGTGCTGAGACCTCTTCCCCACTTATTCTCTTTTGGCCAAACCTGACCTTCCTACCCTCCAGTCCCAGCTGCCACTGACCCTTCACACCAGTCCACTATAGCTTTTGAATTTCTTAAAAGTTCATCAGAGTCCTGCTTCTTCTCCCTTTCACAGTTTCCCCTTTCATTAAGATACAAAAGACCTGGCTCCTTGCCTAGTTTTGAAGACCCTCTCTAATTTGATCTAGCATCTTTCCGTTCTGAAAGCATATTATTATTGGCATTTTAGAGAGGAGGAAATTGAGTTTCAATGAAGGTAAGTGATTTGTACACCACTAGGATATGCAGTAGGTGTAGAATTTGAGAACATGTCTATCGTATTCCAAAGCCATGCTTTGGACACTCCATTAACCCCACCTGATTAATAACTGAATTTAGAACTGTTTCATTTTATTCAAGAAGTTATCAAACTATGTTTCTAAAAACACTAGTGTTCTGTGAGCTGGACCATGGTATTCACCCAAAACCTGGAAGTCTTTTCCCAACTGGTAGAAAAAATATGTGCAAGTTATGGTTAGAATCGTCTCAGGGTCATAGTTGCCCACACATTTTTAATAACTTGTTGGCACTTGTTTCTTAGTGCACTAGCAAATCCTAAAAAAATGGTAATGTTTAAGAAGAAAATGAGTTTTGAATTACTGATCTTAATTAAAAATCAAGAAAATTGGGGCACTTGGCTGGCTCAGTGGGTTGAACATCTGACTTTTGATTTTAGCTCAGGATGTGATCTCACAGTTCATGGGATCAAGCCCTGCATTGGGCTTCACATTGACAGTGAGGAGCCTGCTTGGGATTCTTTCTCTCCCTCACTCTCTGCTACTACCCACTCATTCTCTCTCTCTCTCTGTCTCTCAAAAATAAATTTTAAAAACTTTAAAAAAGAAATCAAGAGGATGTTATCAGTTAGCAGCTTTTCACTGCTAATGAGGAAAAGATTTCCATTTCCTATCATATAAATATATAAACACTTAAAGACTCCTCATTCTTGCTACTAACGTTAGTTTATATCAATGTCTGAATGTTGAATTGAATTCATGAATGCTTAATAAGTATGAGTTTACTAACATATTTCTCCTTCTTATATATTCTCCCTAATTTTAAAGGCAAGATTTTTAAAAAATTAATTTCATTTTTTAAATAGTTAACACATGTATATGAGACAAAATTCAAACAGCACAAAAGAATGTATGGTGAAAGCGAATCTCTTCTGCTCCTGTCACCCTAGTTCCCTCCCCCTTGCAGCTATCACTTTATCAGTTTCTTGAATGTTCTTCCAGTGATATGATAGGTGAACATAACCTCTTATGTATCAATTTTTTATAAAAGGGAGAAATTTTCTATTTTTCCTTGACATAATTTACCTCACTAATAAAACTAGGAGTTGCTCTGATCCTTACATAAACTTGCATACTAAAAATAAAAATAAAATAAATTTTAAGAGTTAATGAGCCCCTATATACCCATTGCCCAGCTTGAAAGATTATTTAAAAGTAATTTTTAAAGGGTTTAACATTCTTACAAATTTTCAGAATGTCTGTCAATGGGAAATGAAAAGAATCACTCCAGCAGCACTGGAGTCTTCAGTTCATTCTGTTCGTGCTAACTTGGAATCAACTCCTGCATAAATTTCTCATAGCCTTTCTAGTAGTAAAAATATAAGTGGACAAATGAATTGTACTTATACTTTTCCTAAAGTTTTGGTTGGTATCTGGACAAGAAACATTTCTAGCAGGCTTTTTTTTTTTTTTTTTTTTAAGTGTATTTATTTACTTTGGTCGAGGAGGGGCAGAGAAAGAGAAAGAGATAGAGAATCCCAGGCAGGTTCTGCGCTTCAGCACAGATCCAAATGTGGGGCTCGAACTCAGGAACCATGAGATCATGATCTGAGCTAAAGTCAGATGCTTAACTGACTGAGTCACCCAGGCGCCCCGCTAATAGACTTTTAAAGCCATCACTGCATTGATATTAGTTTTAGAATTTACTAATAATTCCACATATGGGGCTAATTTGATTGTTTGGATTTGGTTCTTTTTATGGAAAAAGGTTGATGCATCCATTATATTTATCCATACTTAAAAGAATTTAGTTTTATTATCATTGTTAAGGCATGATTATGAATATTGATTATATTTCCACAGACAAGTCTAATTTTTGTCTTGACTTCACAAAATCTGTTTTTTTCTCAGTTCCACTTGCCTCTCCTGAAGCATCAGCAGAACTTCAAAAGAATTTTATAGAATGTATCTCTTATTTACATCAATATGATGCTAGGAAAAGTCCCAATGAGCCCATCCGGGGAAAGGTGAGTTTTCAGAATTAATTATTTAATATTTTAGGATGGGACAGATTTATGGTAGAACACTATGCCTTCTCAAGTCATAACCATCTTTCTAAAAGTCTATTTAAACAAACTAGCATGGCTGATAGGATAAAATCTTAACGACATATAGCGGTTTAAGCTAAGGAATGATGTCAGAATTTTGGATCATAGTCTTTGGGGCTTGGTTTAAATTATTATAATCATTCACTTGAGGTGAAAGCAGTTTGATAAGCTTTTGGATATGCTCATGTGGGCGTGGCCGGGGAATGTGTCTAAGATTTACAAAGCCAAACAGCAATGTAATAGTTGCTGGATTTTTTTTCCAACTGCAGATGTTTGTTTCCATATTTAACCTTAAGTCTTTCGTTGAAGCTAACAGGCATTTGGGATGCAGTCACAAATCCTTAGGTCTATGAACCATAGTTACCCTTGTATCCATTACAACTTATAGAGCAAGAAACGAAATTTCACATGACGAGTCTTAAACAATCCAACTGATAGAAATGTTGAGAATGGGAAAGTAGATGCTGCTTCTTTGACTTTCTGCTTTTCCCTTCTCATTTATTTTCTGGCACATCCTATGTTATAAGTGATTTAAAACTTTCATTAATAATGATTATGTCGCTGTCTCCAGCTTTGGAGTCAAGTGACGGCAGAGAAATAAGTAAGTACCTGTCTTGCCAGGACTTGAGCTCACACATGAACTGAGTTCCCAGCTGCATCTTCCAGCAACTTGCGTGCCCTGGTTAATGTCAACTTTGTTTTCTTTTCCAGCGACATGGAGCTTTTGTGCAGACAGAGATAAAACCAGGGAGTAGGCCAATAGTTCCTACGGGAACAGAGGTATTACGGAATGCTCCAGGGTCATGCTCATCAGAACAGTCCAAAAAAACAGAGAAAGGAAACTCAGCGGAAAGCAAAATGACCTCACCGGGTCTCTGCCGACAAAATTCCCCAGAGCTGTTAGAGACTGAAACTCACTTATCAGAAACAGACGTCGGAGAGGCAGCCAAGGCATGCCCCCGAAGTCCTGAGAGAAGAGAGAAGGCTGCAAACATCTTCCACATAACTGCAGTAAATGCTCTTCTCCCCAGGCATGATCCTTTAAATCCACCAATAAAAAGCCAGGATAAATCAGGATAAATTACTTTCTTCAGATGAAAATCTAATCCTTGGAATGTAGACAAATTTCAGAATCACCATACAAGCCCTCACAATTGCTTTTTCTGTTATCAATAAACTAAAGAAATTCAATTTACATAAATGGGAAAATGAAAAAATGACAATTAAAATACACCAGGAATTTTAGAATTGTCCCTAATGAGTGGTGGGTTATGAGACATATTCCTACGTTATATTATTTATAAACAAAACAACTTTGTTTTGCACAAAAATGAACATAATTGACAAATATAATACTTTTAGAGGAGAGGCCCCATGAGACAGTCATTCTCTGGAATCAAACCAGGGTTAGATTTTGGTTCCACCATGTATGAGTTGTGTGACTTTGGGTGAGTTACTTAACCTCTCTAGACTTCAGTTTCCTCGTCTGTAAAATCAGGATAATAGCAACTTCTCAAGGTTAGGGAGCATGAGATTATGTACATTGATCGCTAAGTGACCCATGTAATTACATCATTACTATTACTATAATTAAAATTTCCACTTAAGGATAATATTCTCCTATAACCTTAATTTTTCCTCCTTATTTTACAACTTTTAGTCCCTCTGTATACAATTAAGAGTGTGAAAAATCTAAAAACATTTTTCCTAGGATATTTATACATACACACACACACACACACACACACGCACACTTAATTCAAAGACACATGGGTATCTTTTATAGAATATAAAAACATTTTCTAAATTGGTTTCTATTTTGCTTAGAACATTTCTAGCACTAACTCAATTTTTGCTTTTTAGATGCATTTGGTATAGTTAATTCTACCAGCTCTTGTATTTGGCACATTTGGTATGCCAAAATGTATCTATCCGAAGCTATGTTCTGTTGCACACAAGTGGAAGTAGGTGGAGTATCTGTGCCAAGAGAGTATACGCCCAGCACATCTCCATGGCAATATATCAGTTTCACACTGTCATATGTAGTGTTGATAAAACTACAGGTATATCTTTATCCATTTCTCCTTCACTAAAGATATTTTAATAGACTGCAAAGGAATGGATGCCATTATTCTATATTTGTGTATTGGAGACTTTCAGTTTTACAGCAGATTAAGGGTAATAGTGAGGGGCGCCTGGGTGGCTTAGTCGGTTAAGCATCCAACTTTCGCTTAGGTCATGATCTCGCGGTTCGTGGGTTCGAGCCCCACGTCGGGCTCTGTATTGACTGCCAGCTCAGAGCCTGGAGCCTGTTTCAGAGCCTGTCACTCCCTCTCTCTCTGATCCTCCCCTGCTCACGCTGTCTCTCTCTCTCTCTCTCTCTCCTAGAAATAAATAAAAAAACATTTAAAAAAAAGGGTAATAGTGAACTCCTTTCATTACAAACAGCTTGAAATGCTGAATAAAATGAAAGAAACAAATATATAGCCAAGCACACAAAACAGAGAAACCCTCATGATTCAAAATAGAGAACTTGATTATTTGTGTATCAATATATATCTTGAAGATCTTTTATCAACATATGTAGAATATGTCATTATTTTAATAGATGAATAGACTTCCATAGTATAGTTATACCACAGCGTTGGAGCAAAAAGAATGCAAGCTTTATGTGTAGGGAAAGGGCAGAGATGGGGTTTGACAGCAAAGATGGAGAGAGAGGTCTTAAAGGCTAGACACTTGAATTTTAATCCAGATTGGAATAGAGATGGAACATTATGGCTTCCATAGTACAGAGTTGAGACTGAAACTATCGTAAAGCCACAACCCTCAAAGAGCTGGCCTACTGGTACAAGGCAGACTAGAAGAACTTCACTCATGTAACCAAGCAGATGCAAGAAAAGTTTGCCTCTTCCTACAGCTATATAGATAGTTAAAATCTTTGTGAGAAAGTAAAATCTCAAGTTTGTGCCACATTCCAGTTTGGGCTATGAACTCACATATAGAACGTTTCATAGGACACCAAATTTACATAAAAATTCGTCCTGCTGGTGATACCACTGAGCTGTCTGACTAAAGAAAATGCAGAACCCTTCTGGAGAGATATGTCTATAAACCACAGAAAAAACAGTCCCCACTGAAGGTGAGGCACAAAAATAATTGCAAATCACACACAAAAAGGAAACCCAACTGAGTAAGAGTCTGTGGTAAAACAAAGAGAATGGTTAAAAACCTCAAAATTAGAGGGAGCAGAATTAAGACACTTTCAATTTGAAGATACTTGTCTTTCTTTCACTTTGGAAAATTTTACTCTGTAGCCTTTTTCTATTATTTCCATCCCCTCCATTCTCTCTCTTCTCTCCTTATGGAACAGCTACTAGGTGAATGATGGAACACTTGGATTTATCTTCTATCTTTTGTAGGTTTTCTCTCATTGTCCTCCTCATGGTACTTTACCACTAAGAATGTAAGCATCCCTTGACACTAACTTTATACTAACTAATTTGCTTTCCAGCCATGTCAATTGTTATTCCAGGCCATCTACTGAAAAAAACTTTGTAATACGTATTTTATTTTTTTAATTTCCAAGATATATAAATGCTTCATGAATACATATGACTCTTCCTATATTATAAATATGATAATCTTAAAATATTGTAATTAAGCTTAATATCTTTTTCTGCTCCCTTAATTCTGTTAATTTCTATTGTTGAGCATAATGCCTCCTTCTTGGTATTGTAGTTTTTTTCTCAAATGTTTGGTGATTTTTGGTTGTATACTCTTTTTTGATTATTTGACTTCCAGATCTCTGTCAGTATAAACTGTTTCTGTCTACTGCAGCCTGACTTTGGGACAGGGTTGGGATATATAGTGAGACAGAATCTAAGGATGATTTGTGTGATGGTATCTTTGCTTCTCCTGGAGGTCAGTAGTTACTTGAGCCCTGGTCTGCTTTTCCAGCCCCATTATATGATTCAATTCATCCACATGTGCTTCACACATGCAGAACAGGTAAGGGTTACTGATTTCCTACTCCAATACAGTTCCTAACTTTTCAAATTGATAAATGCCCTGGAGTGCCTTCCACTTCTTAGTATCCAATGGCTTTAAGCACGTAGTTCTATCCATCCTACCTCAACAGCAGTCATCTCTATACATGTGTTGGGTTTTTCTTTCATTTAGTTTTGCTCCTCCAAACAGTCGTCCACCAGTAATATCTCTCAGAATTTAATAAAAACATATTTCTTCTGATAATAGGTTTCCCTGGCTTCCAATGGTATTAGACTATATTTTATTATCAGTATCTATTTGCATATATTTTATGAGATTTAGTGAGCAGTAAGTGGTAGATGTGTATAATCAGTCTGCCATCTTGAATTAGTCTCTTATTTTCTTTTAAGTAAATCATTTGCAAACCTAGTACTTTAACCATTAGGAAATTAACACATTCTCTGCAATAGACCTCACAGTTGACTGGCAGACATCACTGAGGATTGACATAGTCCTTCTGTCTTAGGGAATATATTTTAGCAAGAGATGGAGGGTCTGGGGTCAAATAGCCCAGTTAGTGGACTACTATCATAGGCTAGATTAGTGGTTCTCAATGTTTTCAAGTATAGGGACATGCTTTCTGCACTTAAAAAAGCTTATGGTTCTTTACAAAACAGTATCCACTGCTTATGAAAACACGTAACAACAAAATGCACTGATGATTCCCAGTTTCAATTCTCTTTTTGTCTTTTCTTTCTTTTTTTTTAATTGCTAGGGTGTGTCTCTCCACAATGAATTCCATAGTCTATTAAAGTTATAACTGCCTGTTGATACAAATAGTGCTCTCAAGTTTCACAAGAATATTTGAATGCTTTCAAGCAGTTCCATTATTAGGTATTTTCATGGAATTATAGCTTTTACCAGGGTTGAGTGTTGTTTTTTCTGTTTACCAAAGAGAACCAAACAACAACAACAACAAAAACACATGGTTCTTCATAAAATTTAATATTTTTAAAATATCTTAGCAAATGTGCTAATAATGGCTTTCAGTCCTTAACAATGCTATTAATTAATAATACCATATATGTATGTTTTAAGGTTTAAAGCATTTTCCAATCTTTTATCTCATTGGATCTTTATAATAATCTTATGATACAGGGCAAATAATAATACCAATCTTACAGCTAATAATAGGCTCAGAGAACTGAAGGAGTCCCTCCCATCCCCCTGGCAGTTTGTAGTTAACAAGCAGCAAAGCCAGGGCCAGAACCTAAGCCTCCCAAGGCTCCCAAATGTCGATGCACAGGGCAGTGCTGGCCCATGACAAATGGAAAAACAAGGACAGCGTAAGTAGTATCAAAGAAAATACTTCAAAACTTTTGTTAAGAGATTGTCACTTTATTGCTTTTTGGGATTTAAAATGCTCTTTATTAGGGGCGCCTGGGTGGCTCTGTCGGTTAAGTGTCCACCTTTGGCTCAGGTCATGATCTCATGGTCCGTGGGTTCGAGCCCCCTGTGTTGGGCTCTGTGCTGACAGCTCAGAGCCTAGAGTCTGCTTTGGATTCTGTGTCTCCCTCTCTCTCTGCCCCTACCCTTAGGGGCTCTCTTTCTCTCAAAAAAAAAAAAATAAACATTAAAAAAATTTAGGGCTCTGTGTTAGACTTCTTATCAATATGATGGACTAAGTTGATGTGGGAAGCCCCCATCATTCCTACACAGACAAAGCTTGGATGAAATGTGACAAAAACCTTTGAAGTATACAACTAAACAATAAAACAAGACATAGCAATCCTCAAGTGCCAAAAAGAAAGAGAATGCTAATAAGTGGTGATTAAGAGGTAAGCCTACAGAGGCCCCTGGAGAAGTGGAATCAGAAGCTGAGCTTAGGAGCTGCAATGGGGGTTAAGGTCCCAGGTGCAGTAGAACTGGAGCTGAGCATAGAGCCAGGATTCCAGAAGAGTTTTGCTGCTATGAAAAGGATTCTAGAGGGGCGCCTGGGTGGCTTAGTCGGTTAAGCGTCCGACTTTCGCTTAGGTCATGATCTCGCGGTTCGTGGGTTCGAGCCCCGTGTCGGGCTCTGTGCTGACTGCCAGCTCAGAGCCTGGAGCCTGTTTCAGAGTCTGTGACTCCCTCTCTCTCTGACCCTCCCCTGCTCACGCTGTCTCTCTCTCTCCTAGAAATAAATAAAATATTTAAAAAAAATTTAAGAGAAAAAAAAAGAAAAGGATTCTAGAACCTCTCTCTCATTAGACTGCAAGGTAGGGAGTGAAACAAACTGATTACCACCTAGACAACACACCTCTGAAACGAACCTGTGCACAAAATGGGACCCAAGCATGTATTCTTGAGTAGTAGTGCAGAAAACATAAACCACGGTTGCAACAGAAAACCTGATAACCAAAGAACCAGAAGAATCAGAGAAACATGAAGGACCCGAGTTTAGACAAGAGACAAATATAATACTGCCCCTTTACCACCCTGGGTACAGGAGACAAGAGAGGATGGAAAGCAATACCTAAGAGATGGAAAAAATGTACCCATCTTTCAGGGGAGGGAGATAGCAGAATTCATGCCCCAAGGATAATGGACAAGAGAGCAAAGAGACTGTAAAATAACTAAGCTTAAATGATTCAGGACATAAAAGAATAAACACGATACAGAAAAACCAGAACAGCCCAAAAAATAAGAGGCATATTTCAGGGAATAAAAGCTATAAAAATTCTAAAGATAAAAAATACATATCATTTTTTAAAACTTAACTCAGTAGATAAAACAAAAAATAAAAAACTTATTTCAGTAGACTAAACATAGCTTAAAAGAAAGTTGGGAGAGAGTTGAAGAAATCTCACAGAATGAAACACAAAAAGATAAAAAGAAATATTAAAAAGAAAGAGGCACAGAGAATAGAACATTACTAAGTGTTCCAGAAGGACACAATAGAGGGAATATGAGAGAAATCTGCAATAAAAATGGCTATGGTAGACACTACCTGTTCCCAATAACTAATCTGCCCCTCTGCCTTTTTCATAGAATCCCCCATTTTGAGCTGAGAACTTGGCTGCCCATTGTGAAGACAATGTTTCCCAGTTTCCCCTATACCTGGATTAGCCATACAACTATGTTCTGGGATATAGCTAAAACAGCATGTACAACTTCCAGAAATGTCCTTAAAAGGAGGAGGTAGGATTTTCCATTTTTTCCTTCCTAGTAGCTGAAATGCTGATGGTATTAAGTTTGATTAGAGAATCTACTTTCTGTGGATGAATGGTAGAATAAAATTATAGGGCCCCTGAGCCCCTGACACCATCAAATACCACCTGGATAGCCTAATCTGTGTGAAAAAGAAATAAACTTCCATCTTGTATGAAGCACTTTGATTTAGAGTTGTTTTTTAAGGTCACTTGCAGCAGAATCTAATTGTAACTTATGCAATGATTGACAATTTTCTATAATTTAAGAAAGATGTGAATCTTCTATTTGAAGAGGCAAAATGAAGTTTGAGCTAGAAAAAATGAAATTAAATCCACACACGGACACAGAATAATATAACCACAGAACATCAACTGTACAGAGAAAAACTTTAAAAGCAAATCAGAGAGAAAAGTGATTGTTACCCATAAGAAAAAACAAACTTCTCATCCGCAGTGAGAGACGCAAGAATATGAAGTAATATCTTGAAAATGCTGGTAGGCAATACTGCTCAACATAGAATTCCATGCTTAACTGAACTATAATTCAAGAATGAGGACAAAATATGGACATTGTCAGATATACACAGATTGGCAATAATAGCAAGTACTTATATAATACAACTTTACAAGGCAATGTTATAAGTGCTTTATATATTTTAACTCATAATCTTTGCAACAGCCCTCTAAGGTAGATACTATTAATAGTACTATATTACAGATGATGTAACTAAGATACAGGAAGGCTAAGTAACATGCCCAAGGTCACACAGCTAGTAAGCAGCCAAATTGGGATTTCAGCACAGGCATTCTGCTTCAGATTCCAGGGTTTTAATCACTCATCTTCAATGAAAGTACTGAAAGATGTTGTCATTTATTTTATTTTTAAAGATGTTAAAAATTTTTTTTAAATTTATTTTTGAGAGAGAGAGAGAGAGAGACAGTGTGAGCAGGGGAGGGTCAGAGAGAGAGGGAGATACAGAATCCAAAGACAGACTCCAGGCTCTGAGCTAGCAATCAGCACAGAGCCCAACTCCGGGCTCGAACCCATGAACTGAGAGATCATGACTGGAGCCGAAGCTGGACGCTTAACCAACTGAACCACCCAGGTGCCCCTAAAGACGTCTTTTTTAAAAGTTTATTTATTTTGAGAAAGAGACAGTGTGAATGGGGGAGGGGCAGTGAGAGAGACAGAGAGAGAGAGAGAGACAGAGAGACAGAGAGAATCCCAAGCAGGCCCCAAGCTGCCAGCACAGAGCCCAATGCAGGGCTCCAATCCATGAAGCTGTATCATGACCTGAGCCAAAATCAAGAATCAGATGCTCAACCGACTGAGCCACCCAGGTGCCCCTGAAAGATGTCATTTAAAAGATTGATATGGTGTTCACTTTAGCAGCACATCTGCTAAAATTGAAAGGATCCAGAGAAAGTTTGCATGGCTCCTGCACAAGGATGACATCCAAAAGCTTGGTATGGAACCTGGACAGAAAAAGTAGGATATAAGCAGAAAACCAAAAAAACTAAATCAGCAAATCATATTGATTAACTTATGTATTAACCCCAAAACATTCTTTCATGAAATAATTCTGACAATAGATTCTAGGGGATTTTTTCTCCTTGTAGTGTCTTTAATTGGCAAGAGAAAATATTTGACAACTCTATGTCAATTCCCCCCAAAATTTTGGTAATTTTCCTAGTATGTGAAATCATAGTCTGGCAACTATCGATCTATTGTGCAACAAAGATTTTTTTTTGAAAAAGCAAATCTGCAAAATTAATTACTAGTGTGTCATGCAAAAAAATATTTATTGATATTAGGATATTTTGTTGGTTATTTAGATTCATGCTGTGAGGACGACAGGCTGCATGTAACCTTTAGTGAGAATCACTGTTTTCCTCAAACATGGCTCCTGTGAAGGACATACTATAAATTGAAATGTAAAAAAGGAAGAAAAAACCCCTTCCACTACAGAAACTCGTTGCTAACTTATTAAGGTTTATGGAGAGAATGCTTTTTGGTGATAAATTATATCAAGGTCATCTACAGTATTTTATCCAAGAAGGCAGAGCCCAGTGCTATTACATGCCCACCAAAATCAAAGATGGACAACAATACTGAACACTTCTGAAGGAGTGAATTTTGGGAGAAATAGAGAAAACATGTTACTTTTTACTTACTTGTAATATTAGCTATTATAAAAATTTTCTTCAAATTGCTCTGCCAACTTGTTAATTCTGTAGACAGAGAATGCCAAATGTTTTACTCTTAAGGAATTTTATAGATCACACAATTTCCTCATTCTCTGGTCAATTTTGCATTAGAAAGATACCCCAAAAATGGTCCCTAGGGTTCCCAGCAATTTGTTTCACAATCCTAAGCAAATGAATGGAAATAATATGTGACCTACCAAGTTTTAATGGCTATATATTTTTTTAAGTTTATTTACTTATTTTTAAAGAGACAGACATTGCACAAGTAGGGAGTGGACAGAGAAAAAGAGAGAGGGAGATAGGATCCCAAGCAGGTTTCATGCTACCAGAGCAGAGCCCGACACGGGTCTCAAGCTCACAAAACTGTGAGATCATGACCTGAGCCAAAACCAAGAGTTGGACACTTAACCAAGTGAACCACCCAGTACCCCTCATGGCTAGCATCTTAATTGTAGCACTAACAGAAACCAAATTTCCAGATTAAGTTTTTCTGTAATAACCATTTTTAGGGTGCTTTTGCTTTTCTTTTCTTTTCTTTTCTTTTCTTTTCTTTTCTTTTCTTTTCTTTTCTTTTCAATAGCAGCGAGAGCTTCTGTGTTTCTGTGGAAGAAGTTGGGGATAATGAGAAGGTATTTCTAAGAGGCAGCTATAAAGTCAACGTTCCCATGAAAGTCCCCGATACAGCCCATGATGTCCAGTATACAAAATTTTGCACACTCTTATATACACTTAAAAATATCACTGAGCTACAAAGACAAAAGGAAAATCCCTCTCAGATGTCTGCTTATCTATAGTGTTTCCTCCATTCTGTTTTTATATTAGTCTTCTATAACCTTAGTACATGCTTATGTAGTAAAGTATGAACCTTGCCCAAAGAGAGGTCTGGCCTTTGCCCTTGACTCCTGGGAGGTAACTTCAAAGACCTTGGAATATCCTGCTTGATAAGAGTGTCTTTGTTTACCTGGGGACCCTGGGCTGTGCCAGAAGGTCTATGCTAACAATGCAATTTTGAGGGGTGGGGGGAGAGGTCTTGGGCCACACGGTTGGACCTCTGGAGAGGCTAGAGGCTAAAGTCAGCCAGATGGGCAGTTAACCATGACTATGTGACCAAGCTTAATAAAAACTATGGACACCAAAACTTAGCAAAGCATCCTAGTGGCAATAATCTATGTGTATCGCCACACATTACCGAGAGAAGTTAGCACTGCTCACAACTGCACAACTTTGGGAAAGGACAAATGGAAGCTCTTGCTTGGAATTCTCCTGGACTCTGCCTCAGGTGCCTCTTTTCTCTACCAATTTTAGTATGTATCCTCTCACTGTAGTAAACCATAACTGTGAGTATAAGAGCTTTTAGTGAGTTCTGCGAGTCCTGCCAGCAAATTATTGAATGTGAGGGTGGTCTTAACAGCCTTCAAACTTGATGTCAGAAGTCAGGGTGGTCTTGGTGACTCTTAAACCTTACAATACAGATTTATCTGTTGTGAGAATAAGGCAAGATAATGATGCCTATAGTGAAAATCCTTTGTAATGTGGAATCTCTCACTGTATTAGATAAAGTTGAAATATTTGATATAAGTCAATAATAAGTTATATTCATGTTGCTATAAAAATGTTCCCAAGCATTTTTAATTAAGAACTTCTGAAATTTTTAAGGACAAAGTATGGATTTTACAACAAGTAATCTCATTTATGGTGCTAAAAAATGGCCAAAAGGAGAACTCTAGATAAATCACTGAAATTCTCATTTCTTCAACCAATCCTATTGAAGGTCCTGTAGGCCTTGGAGTGGGAATCACAATTTCTGGCCTGTGTATAGTAGCCTCCCTTATAGACTTCCTTTAACTCTGTCCACAGCATCTTAAATAATCCCTTTATTAAATTCTACTCATGCACTCTATTTAAGTGGCCACTACTTCCTGGCTGGACCTGACCAAAACAGTGGTTAAGACTAAGGCTAGATGTGATCACAGAATCTTCTGTTTTTAAATATATATTTTTTAAAATGTTTATTTATTTATTTTTGAGAAAAAGAGCAAGCACATGTACATGGGGGAGGGACAGAGATAGAGGGAGACAGAGAATCCCAAGCAGGCCCTGCGCTGTCAGCACAGAGCCCAGTGCAGGGCTGGAACCCATGAACCATGAGATCATGACCTGAGCTGAAATCAAGAACCAGACGCTCAACTGACTGAGCCACCCGCATGTCCCATGATCACAGAATCTTCTTAACACTGAGCTCTATGTTATTATTATGAATTAATTAAAGTTGACACTTAATATACTTTTGTCATTCCTAGATTTGGGATTTAATAATATTCCTCTTGGTGTGAGCTTCCACCAGGAAACATGAAAAATGTGCCTTATTATTAGACACTTCCTGGCTGTCTCACTTCTAATTCACTGAGGAAAAACTAATAATACCTAGGTTTTACCACTCTGCCTATGATCTCAGTGATGGGAATTTTGGCCCAATATATTTGTTAATACATGACATCCACCATGATGCCCTGTAGCCCAATGAGCTTCTGTGTCATACCTCTTTGTTTGCCAGTCACTTGCCTGTGTATCTCAAATATTCTCAGAGCCCAGAAGGTAACCTAAGAAAGGCAGTGGTATAAACAATGGGGAATTCTGCTTTTTGGCACATCAGAATAAAGACTTCCAAAAATCTACTCTACCATAAAAGAAATGAGAACACTGACAAATCTTGTCAAAAATCAAATTTGATTTCGAATTTGTTTTAAAATTCTCTAAGTTAACCAAAGGCTTACAATTGGAAGAGCATCTATTCACTAAAAATGACTGAATCTCTGTGAAAACAGTAAAATTTGTGGTATTTTAACTTCCCCTATTCCCATCTCACTCTCAAAAAGAAAAAAATACTTAGGAATAAGCATAGTAAAAAGTGCAAGACTTTTGCACTGAAAATATAAAATATTGTTGAAAGAAATTAAAGAAGATCTAAATAAATCAAAAGGCAGGGCTTGTTCATGAATTGGAACAAATAATGTTAAATTGGCAACATTCCCTAAACTGATTGACAGAATCAACACAATACCTTCCATATCCCAGGTGGGGCTTTGCAGAAACTGAAACTGATCTTAAAATTCATACTGAATTGCAAGGGGCCCAGAATAGCCAAACATGCTTGAAGAAGAACAAAGTTGGAGGACTAACACTTCCGGGTTTCAAAATTTATTACAAGGCTACAGTGACTCAAGATAGTGTGGTACTGGCATAAAAATAGACATGAAGATCAGTGGAGATTGGAGAGTCCAAAAATAAACTCATACGCCCATGGTCAATTGATTTTTAACAAGGGTGCTAAGACAATTCAATGGGGAAAGAATAATCTTTCCAACAAACAGCACTAGACAACTGGATAACTACCTGCAAAAGGATAAAGATGCTTCATTACATTTAACAAAAATGAACTCAAAATGTATCACCAACCTAAATGTCAGAGAGAAAACTAAAAAAACCTTAAAAATAAAATATAGGCATAAATTTTTATCACCTTGGATTAGGCAATGATTTGTATAATGCCAAAACCGCAAGAAACTAAAGAAAACATAGGTAAATTGGGTTTTATCCAAACTGTATGATGTGTGCTTCAGAGAGCACGATCAAAAAAGTAAAAAGTCAACTCACTGGAGAAAATATTTGCAAATCATTTAAGAGACTTGTATCCAAAACATATACACAACTCAGAAACTCAACAATTAAAAAAAATACCACATTAAAGTTGGGAAAGATTAAAGAAACTTTTCTCTAAGGAAGCTATACAAATGGTCAATAAACACATGGACGATTCTCAACATCATGGGACGTTAGGGTAATACAATGAAAACCACAGTGAAACATCACTTCATGCCCACTGGGATGGCAAAATAAAAAAGAAGGCAAGTATCATCCATGACATGGAGCAATTGGAACCCTCAGTCATTGCTGGTAGGATTATAAAATGATGCAGCTACTGTAAAAACAGTTTGGTAATTCTTCAAAAAGTTAAACGCAGAGTTACCATACAACACAGTAATCCCACATGTAGGAAAATACCCAAGAAAACAGAAAACATGTGTCCACACAAAAACATTGTTTATAAAGCAGCATTGTTTATAAAGAATAGGCAGGAAACAGATACAACTTAAATGTCCACCGGTTTATAGATGAATCAACAAAATGCAGTGTACTCATACAATGGAAGATTATGCAACAGTATGGATATTAAAACTATATTATGCTAAGTAAAAGAAGCCAGACTCAAGACTCA